GCTGACAGAAAACTTCCCCAATATCATGAAAGATGAAAAGCTGGCCATCCAAGAAGCTCAACGAACCCCATATAAGATAGACCCCAAAAGAAAATCACCAGGGCATATCATAATCACACTCGCCAAAACCAAAAACAAACAAAGAATCCTGAGAGCAGATCGTGAAAAACAAGAAGTCACGTACAAAGGAGAAACAATAAGACTAAACTCAGATTATTCGGCAGAAACCATGCAGGCAAGAAAGCGATGGGATGACATATATAAAACCTTGAAAGAAAAAAATTGCCAGCCAAGAATAACATATCCTGCAAAACTCTCATTCAAAAATGACGGTGAAATTAGGACATTTCCAGATAAACAAAAATTAAGGGAATATGTAAAAACCAAACCAGACTTACAAGAATTATTAAAGGGAGTTCTTCGATCTGAGAACAAACAACTTCAGATCACAGGCTGAATCTAGGACGCAGGATTGCACCAGCCAGATACCAATCTAGGAAATGAAATCTCAAGGACTATCCAAAACCAAAAGAAATACAACACGGAATCAGAGCAGTTAATCTGTAAATGACAACAACATCAGAACAATAAAAGAGGGAATAAACAGTATAGGTACAGAACCGTCTAATGGAGAGGAAGCAAGGCGATACTATGTTAATAATAGACTGGTTCAAACCTAGGAAAATAAAGGTAAAGTTCAAGGTAACCACAAAGAAAGTTAACAAACCTACTCATCAAAATAAAGAAAAACATAAAAAGTCTTAGTAAAAACAAAATCTACATAAACAAAAGAAATGAAAAAAAAATCCACAAACAAAAGGAATTAAGCACAGAAGAGTAAAAGGAACAAAGAACACGTCAGCACCACAAAAAAAACCACTACAAAATGACAGCAATAAACTCACACCTATCAATAATCATACTGAATGTAAATGGCTTAAATGCACCCATAAAGAGATGGACAGTGACAGAATGGATAAAAAACCAGGATCCATCAATATGCTATCTACAAGAGACACACTACAGAAACAAAGACGTAAATGTATTAAAAAGCAAAGGATGGAAAAAAATATATCAAGCAACCAGCTATCAAAAAAGAGCAGGAGTGGCAATACTAATCTCAGATAAAATAGACTTTAAAACAAAATC